GTGGTCTTTCTCTTGCTGCCTTCAACTTTATCAAGCATACTTTTTAGTGAATCATGTTCTTTCACGTTATGCCCCCAATTAAATTGATTTGGCTCATGGTGAGTGTTCCGGCTTGAGTTGGTCCCAGACCCATTTGTTTGTCATTTTTGCAGTTGTTAGGTTGGTTGGTTAGTTTTGCAATCCTCTCCTCCGGTACCACATTTCAAATTATTTAATTTCTTTCCTGCTGAATTTCTTCGGTGTCCAGCTTTGACAACAACACATAGAAACCAGAAATGCTATGGCATGGATGGTTCTGAATCTGATAGTCAATGATATCCTTTTATACTTGACAATATTATTTAGTTTTATCTTTTGATAATTTTATCTAGTTCCTTTTTTTAAGCTACCCTTCCAAGTCCTAGTCTTCTTCTCTTAGACTACTATTCCATTCTGACTGATGACTGAACCAAGGTATAGCATTTATAAAAACTATTTCAATGTTTTCATCACCCTCTTTAAATTTAAGTAAATAACCCATGGTTATTATATTTGTTTTCTTGATAGTCAACTGTAATCCTGCTTTGGCACCTTCTTTCTTAACTTTCCTCAATAGGTGTTCCAAGCTTTTGCTATTTCCTACTAGTAATATGGTGTCATCTTGTATCAAATTGTTGGTGTTTCTTTCCCCCGTTTTTACACCTCCTGCTTCTCGGTCTTCTTTCTGCATATGTTCTGCATATACATTAAACAAATAGGATGATAAAATACAATGTTGTTTGACCCCCCCCACCCATGTCAATCAGAAACCATTCTGTTTCTCCATATACTGTCTTGACAGTAGCCTCTTTTCTTGAGTAGGACTTCAGAACTAACATGCTGTGGCACACCCATTGCCCTTATAGTGGTTGATAGTTTCTCATATTCTACACAACCATTGGCTTTGCTGTAATTTATAAAACACAGGGTGACTTTCTGAAACTCCATTAGCTAATGTATGTTTGCAATATGTTCCGAAGTGCCTCTTCCTTTTCTGAACCAAGCTTAAACATGTGACACTTCTTATTCTATAAGATTAAAGTCTTTCTTGTAAAATCTTGTAAATAACTTTGGTTACATGGGGGACTGAGACAATGCTTATTGTGATTCTTGTTGTCCTCTTTTTTGAGGGTTGGAATGTATATTGAGCATTTCCATATTTGTTGGAAGATTTTTGTTAGAAATTTGTTCAGGGCTTAAATTTGCTTTTTAAAATATAGTAATTAATTATAATTAATTTAAATGAGTGAATTAATTTGCAGCACCTACAGTACATTTCTGATCACTAGGTGGCAGGCTTCCCTAACCAGTGCATAGGTTGTTTTGTTTGTTTCCTTGTTCCTTGAATAAGCCCAAACTAGCACACATGGGCCCTCTCAACATTTTTAACCTCAGTTTTAATACAGTTCATACATTTGAAATCAGGAGAATAGAGAGGGACAGAATTATAGGCCTTCTTTTTCAAGGCTGTAGTGGAGCACTATAACAGCAGACTGAGGCTCCATTTAGGCAAGGCAGACACAATGTACCCAACTCTGACAACTGTGTACATTTACTTGAAGTTTTCATTGCATCAAACTAAAGGCAATTTACTATTGCTAGTCATGCAATGCAATGCAATGTAATGCAATAAAATACATTTTACTCTAGCCACTTTTTTAAAAAATAAAGTTGCACAGCCAATCCTGCGTATGCTTGAAGGAGGAGGAGGGTTAAGAGGAAGGTCTATTTTGCCTTACTTTACACCACTGATAAAATGTGACCTGCCTTTGAGATAAAGTGAAATCTTGAAATACATTAGAGCATTTCCATTTCTATAGCAACCCTCCATTCCTTCATATCTAGAAATTGATGGCTGCTGTAGTTAAGTATATGCTGTTCTATTTCCCTTGGAAGGAGCTGCTGCCTGTTTCTTGACGCCCGGTGAAGCTGTAACTGTTCGCAAGTCCGCATTTGACCTTGCACAGAAAGATGGACTTGAATGGAGAATGGAACTTGGATGATATCAGCTGGTTGAACCACAGTGGGATTCTTCATTTTGTCAATGTATTAAGAGGTATGTATAGTTATTAATTTTTGTTTAAAGATGGCTGTTAGCTCTGCCTTGTCTTCACTCTCCTAAAGAGCCAAGAGTAGCAGTGGTGTGAGTATGTGAGGCCTTTTCACACTACACACTTATAACACGTTGATAGCACTTTTACTGCTATGACTACATTCTACAGCATCCTGAGATTTTTAGTTTGATATGGCACTACAGCTCTCTGGCTGAGAATTCTAAGTACTAAACTGCAAATCCCAAGATTCCATAGGATGGAGCTAGGTTAGTTAAAGGGGAATCATGGCACTATAATTGTGCAGTGTGCAAAGGCGCTACGATCAGACAGAAAATGGATGAAAATAAAGAGTTATATACCCTTTCCTGACAGCGTGGAATAGTGGTCTTCCGAGTGCTGGGCTAAGACTCTATAGACCAGGTTTTGATTGCCTGCTCAGCCATGAAACCCACTGGGTGACCTTGGGCAAGTCACATTCTCTCAGCCTCAGTGGAAGGCAATCTTGCCTCTGAAGAAATCTTGCCAAGAAAACCCCATGATAGGCTTGCCATAAGTCAGAAATGACTTAAAGGCACACAACAACAACAACAAACCCTTTCCTGGAGAACTGCTTACCTGATCTTCCCTAAATGGATATTGAAATAAAACAAAGCAAACCCTGTAGCTGTTTTTAATTACTCTGTAAACTATTTGGGGTCCTGGTTCTTGGAGAAAGGTGGGATAAAGATAAAACAGAGATGTGAGACATTCCCATCACACATGTAGAGCCAACCTGGGAGACCAGGGTCCAAATCCTTACTTGGCCATGAAACTCACTGGGTGACAATGGGCAAATCACACTCTCCCAGCCTCAGAAGAAAGCTGCATCTGCACTGCAGAAATAATCCAGTTTGACACCACTTTTACTGCCATGGCTCAGTGCTATGGAATGTTGGGATTTGTAGTTTTGTGAGACATTTAGCTTTCTCTATCAGAGATCTCTGGTGCCACAACAAACTACAATTCCCAGAATTCCATAGCACTGAGCCATGGCAGTTAAAGTGGTGTCAAACTGGATTACTTCTGCAGTGTGGATGCAGCCAAATACAATTTCAAATCTCTTCTGAAATAATCTTGCCAGCAAAACTATGGATCCTCAAAAATCCCAAAAATGAAAAGATCAGGTTTTCGTTCAAATTAACCCCCTTTTAAATTCGAATTTAGTTATCAGACGAGGTGGAACGGGACAAATCCAGTAAATTAAAGACTTCCGCTTGTCCGATTTATTTCCACTTTTTTCCCGCGACTCCCCGTGTGATAACGTGTGACTAATGCCCCTTAGGATTGCCATAATCTGGTAACTTGAAGCCACACAAACAAAACAACATCACATGGAGACAGGTCCATTACTAAGAAGAAAGAGAATGAGAATAATAAGCCACCAATAATACACGAAACCTTATGTGCAAAAAGAGCTTTTTGTAGTGAAAGCAAACTGGGATGGGACCTAAAGATCCACACTGCATGGATAGAGGGAAGAAGGGACACAACAAGAAAGCCTTTGCTAGTCCTGTTTACTATTTAAGTATTATGCAATTCTATACATGGATTTGTTTTATAATCCCAGTCTCCATTATTAAATTCATTTTGATATTCTGCAGAAAAGCAGAAAACATTACATTTTAAGTACACCATGGGCAAATACAGGGAAACACTATGTGGTGATTTACAACAGTGTGCCTGTAGTAAGACCTCCTTGTCTCAGCATCACATCACATCACAAAGTGGTGAAGAGAATTTTGTCTGGTACAACAAAAGAAACGGCTGTGTATGGACATCTGTTCATAAGCATGGTAGGCCATGTGTTCCTTCTTCATCTCTCACTTTCCTTCCTGGTGTGTGGAGCCCTGGCTTGCAATATCTGGCTTCTTAATCAACATTCAAACACAGTTCCTTGGTTTGGGAATAAAGGGGAAAAATAGCTTAATGTAAGCCAAAAGTTCCCATGTCATGGAATGCACACAACACATAACACACATGCTCTGTCCTTATTTGGCAGGAACAAATCCAGTTAATCTTCTGCCATCCCACTTTCTCAACTACATTAAAAATGTCCTGGTTTCTCTCCCATCCTCCTACCTTATGAAATGGTGGTTTAATGAAGATGGGGAGAATCACTGAAGTGGCATAGTCTTCTCCCATCTCTTTCTTCCCCTTCTGTTCCCATGTTGTTTTGTTGTTAACTGCCCTTGAGGAGATGGATTATCACACGGAGGCTTACTGTCCATAAAATATCCCTAAATTGTCCAACAAGCGGAAAGGTGTGATAGTCGGCCGCGCTTGTCCCCATGATTAAATCGTCGTAGAGGCATCCCCTCGCCTCTCCTGTCATTAAAGTGTTTGCAGAACCACCATTTGTTAATAACGAAAGTTCCCATTATTAGCAAATATCAGGCTCCATGAACACTTTAATGATGGGAGAAGCAAGGGGATGCCTCCATGATAATTTAATCATGGGGACAAGTGCGACTGACTATCACACCTTTGCGCTTCCCAGACAATTTAGGGATGTTTTATGGACAGTAAGCCTCTCTGTGATAATCTTCTGAGTCATTTTTATGAAGCTGTGGACAAAAGTCTGTTTTGGTAAGCCACAAGCAATAGCAATAGCAAGTACATTTCTATACCACTTATCCGTGAACTAGCATTCCCAAGCAGTTTACAAGGTGTAAGCCAATTGCCCCCAACAAGCTGGGTACT